AAAGCGATGCTAATAGCTCCCCTTTCAAAATAGGCTACATCAAATGCAATTATTTCATGTCTTTTACGGTATTTTTCCTTCTGAAATACATAGATCCCAGAAATGAGGTTCATGCTTGCATGGATGTTCTGCTATGTCAGAACTGCTCTTAAATTTCTTAAAACTACAAGGTCTAGGGGCACTACTGAATTGATTACTTAAACTCAAGCTCAGGCCATGCGCTCTCATTTTTCAGGAGTTAGGAGTTAATACCGTAACCCAGCCCACGGCATCATGCGGTGTATCCACCCAACCGGTCACTTGCAGAACTCAGTCGATGGAGACGGATATTAACGATGTTATGAATAAAAGTATCGCCACTGACCGCGCTGAACTTGTGGATAAAATTATGGAAACATCTAGGTATGAACCCTCTAAAAATCGATATATTGATTGGTATCATACCGCCAGTGCTGTGATGGATCCTAGCAAAGAACTACCTCTGAACGTCATTTTTGCAGAAGTGATCGAATCGATCCCGTGAGGCAACTGTCATGGGAGGAAAAAGCTCGTCGCGACATGATGACGTCACCAGTTCTGCGGCAATTGGTCCTGAAAACATCCGGTGTTGACACATCTCACGACTTTGATGATCACTCACAACAAACATCGCTACTTATCGATCGACCACAGCCAAATACTCATCAATCGATACAAACTTCACCAAACAGTGAAAGAAAACGAAGTGATCGATGTGTTCAATTCGCACCGAACTATATTGATCGAATGACTTCACCAATATTCAAGCGGTCAATGAAAGGAATGTTTGAGACGTCTATTGCTGAGATGTTCTGCCGGTATCTAAACAAAATTCTATATTCTTGGTCCAGTGGACGAGTTTGTTGTCGAATTTTTTAACGAGTTTTCAGGTCACAACAAACATCTCAAGATATGGGTGACAGACTCCCTGAAACCACTAAGACGGAGTTGATAACGCGAGGTGTCGGACCGGATGAGGGTAGGTGCCAACACCTTGATCATATACTAGTCGGAATTTTTAACGTAACCCACCATGCGCAGCGTATGAACAGCGAATAGACTCTTAGGTCTTAGTTTAAGTGATATATGCTTCTTTCATCTATCGCAATCAGATTCATCCGACGGAGTTTTCAGTAGTCCACATAAATCTTTAAATTTTCAAAAATTTGAACTACTAATCTTTACGCCAACAACAAATCGATATATTGATTGCCTCTCTTATCGACTTTACTGATTT